CTACGGTGAAAAGCTCTGTTCCACAAGGCACAGTACTCGCTCCCATCTTGTTCCTCATCCTTATATCCGACATAGACAAGGATGTCAGCCACAGCACCGTGTCTTCCTTTGCAGATGACACCCGAATCTGCATGACAGTGTCTTCCATTGCAGACACTGCAAAGCTCCAGGCAGACATCAACCAAATCTTTCAGTGGGCTGCAGAAAACAATATGAAGTTCAACGATGAGAAATTTCAATTACTCAGATATGGTAAACATGAGGAAATTAAATCTTCATCAGAGTACAAAACAAATTCTGGCCACAAAATAGAGCGAAACACCAACGTCAAAGACCTGGGAGTGATCATGTCGGAGGATCTCCACCTTCAAGGACCATAACATTGTATCAATCGCATCTGCTAGAAAAATGACAGGATGGATAATGAGAACTTCAAAACTAGGGAGGCCAAGCCCATGATGACACTCTTCAGGTCACTTGTTCTATCTAGGCTGGAATATTGCTGCCACACTAACAGCACCTTTCAAGGCAGGTGAAATTGCCGACCTAGAAAATGTACAGAGAACTTTCACGGCGCGCATAACGGAGATAAAACACCTCAATTATTGGGAGCGCTTGAGGTTCCTAAACCTGTATTCCCTGGAACGCAGGAGGGAGAGATACATGATTATATACACCTGGAAAATCCTAGAGGGACTAGTACCGAACTTGCACACGAAAATCACCCACTACGAAAGCAAAAGACTTGGCAGACGATGCACCATCCCCCCAATGAAAAGCAGGGGTGTCACTAGCACGTTAAGAGACCATACAATAAGTGTCAGGGGCCCGAGACTGTTCAACTGCCTCCCAGCACACATAAGGGGGATTACCAACAGACCCCTGGCAGTCTTCAAGCTGGCACTGGACAAGCACCTAAAGTCAGTTCCGGATCAGCCGGGCTGTGGCTCGTATGTTGGTTTGCGTGCAGCCAGCAGCAACAGCCTGGTTGATCAGGCTCTGATCCACCAGGAGGCCTGGTCACAGACCGGGCCGCGGGGGCGTTGACCCCCGGAACTCTCTCCAGGTAAACTCCAGGTAAACTCCAGTGATTGACAGGAGTGACACTGGTCTGTAGTTGCTGATTTCTGCTCTGCTCTTCTTTTTGTGAACAGGGACTACATTTGCCTCTTTCCATAGAGAGGGCCATTTACACTGTACTAGGCAGTGCTGAAAGATGCGAGTTAGAGGTGCTGCTAGCTGGTCTGCACATCTTCTCAACAATCTTGGGCTCAACTTGTCTGGGCCCACAGCCTTTTCTTGATCAAGCGATTTAAGAAGGAAATGCACCTCCTCCTGCCTTATTGTCACCACTGACAGTTTTGACACAGTTCTTGCAGCTAGCCAAGGAGGGTCCCTTGCTGGATCAGGAACTTGCATTTTGGTAGCAAAGTGTTCAGCAAAGAGGTCTGCCTTCTCTTGACTACTAGTAGAGGTGGTCCCATCGTTTCTTCACTATCTATTGTCCTTGGGCTCAGTGGCCTGTCATTTTCCCTTCTCAGCTTTCCCTGGGCTCTGCTGTGGTCTGTTAGGGTCTCCACATATAGCTTAGTTCTTTCATTTTCTACAGTCCCCTTGATTGTTCCTGCGTTTCTCTTCCTCGGGCTCTACAATGGTCTGATAAGGCTTCTGCATGCAGTTTCACCCCTTCATTCCCTACAGTCCCCTTGTTTGTGACTGAGGTAACAGTCTCTGATGTCATTCCCAAATTGTTCTTTAGTACTTTAGGCTGTTTCAGATTTTCCAGTTCCTCTTCTAATCTCTGTATCCTGGCCTCTGCTACTGTGACTTGCATCTCCCACTTCTTGCTTTCTGCATCTAACCTCTCTTCCATTCTCATGCTAAGTTCTTCTAGCTTCTTTCCCCATTCAATTTCCTTTTTCATGAGCTCTTCTGCCCAATCTTCCTTTGCAGATTCATCCTCCAGTCCTTTGGTTTTCCTTCCTGCCTCTGGCAACCCATTTTTTGTTTTGGTTGCCACAGAATGAAAAACTTATGTAATTGTGTGTGTTCGTTTTGTGGTGTGTTTGTCCGAGTGTAGGGGGAGGTAGAGGAGGAAGCTGTAGACAGTGGCTAAATGTGAGAGGGGTGGGGAGGGGGAATGAGGGGGGAATATGGGGAGTGAGGAGGAGGGAGAAGCAAAGGGGGAGAATGGGAGATGGAGAGGGGGAAAGAGAGAGAGGTGGGGGAGAAGGAGGGTGAGAGAGAGAGGGGGGGAGTGTGTGTGAGTCTGTGTGAGAATGTGTGGTTGTAAATGTGTGTGCATAGCTACATGAGGGTTTATTAAGTGGAATTGTGTACTGTGGTGTATGAGATTGAATGCAGAGTTCAGTGGTCCCTTACCTGGCTTACCTGGCCCCACCCTCCTGTGACCTGACTCACACCTACCTGTTATACTGCTTCTACTTCTACCTTCTACCTAGTCTTATAGAATCCCATCTCGCCTTGTTCTATAAATTACCAATTGCTATTCATTACTGAGTACTTGATAGCCTATTCTTCATCGTACTAGGAGAGTTGGACCGTTCACAATCAGCTTGGTGGTTAATTGGAAACCAAAACCCACACCCAACAACCACACATGGGTGAATACTTGCGAACAGCCTGTAGCAGCCTCTAGATTGTCCAGCTCGATGTGATGTCTGGCGTAGATCCACCTCCGTTGCTTCTCGATATATAATGTACCCTATTCACTGTATTTCTTTCACTGGTCACACATTTGTTTCACTTTATTTTCTTTCTTGGGTGACACATGGCAACGTCGCCTGAGCACACACACTAGGCCTGCCAACTCTAAATGCGCCACCAGGTATCACTTTCTAGTTCACTTATAAAACTGTGGCTCTCCCCGCACTTATGGGGCTCAGGCAAATTGTAAATCACTTCAAGGATTGTTCACTACCCTGACACACTTAGTGACCCTTGCAGTACACTTGGGTAGCCCTCAGAAACACATATTCACGGAGCAAGGAAGGCGTGACTCGCGCACGCAGTGTGTGTTTGCATGTGTATATGTGTACTCATATATTTATTTTTTTATTTTTTATTTGGACATGATACATAGTTGTACAAAGAAATTTAGTGATTGGGTGTACATGCGTGAGTGCATGTGTGAGTGCTTGTACTCGTGTGTGTATGTATACTCGTGTGTATGTGTACTCACCTATTTGTGTGTGTGTGTGTGTGTGACCCAACAATTAATATTTGCACCAATAACTCATAGCTGTGACCGGGTGTGGACGTGTGAATTGCTCATTACTCTATATTATTATTATTATTAAAATCAAGGGGGAAGCGCTAAACCCGGAGGATTATACAGCACCTGGGGGGGATGTGGAAGGCATTCAGACTTAATTCGGGGAACTGGAGCACAAATCCAATTCCCTAAATCAAGAGCCCCTCACCAACATCAAGGAACCTATAATTTGTTCATTATCGTAGCAATGTATAAACACAAGTAACTTTACTTACAGGATTCATTTCCTTCGCAACTTGTGTGTTCATTACTTTTGTACCTAGTACAGCTATCAAAACTTTTGGGGACCCAGTCCCTGGACCCATTATGTACCTCTGTAATCTGTAAATATCTTTGTAACTTGTCATGATTGTGACCAGATCTACCTGGAGTTCATTATCTTTGCAACTTGCTCAGCTATCAAAACTTTGGGGTCCAGTCCCTGGACCCATTATGTACCTCAGTAATCTTTTGACTACCGCCCACAAGATGGGTATCGGGTGCATAATAAACATACTAAACTAACTAAATCTGGGAAAAAAAGACTTTTAGGTTAGTTTTCGAATCCCTAGCAACTTTAATTTCTTAGTTCCATTTAGCTTTTCTTATTCCCTTTTTAACGTCCCTCTTAATGTCATTCTCATTACTTATGAAGAATAGTTAAGCATCATTATTCCCATTTAAGATGACCCTCACCTCTTTGGATACGACTATAAATTCCTTTCTTCTGCCCTAAAAGATATTTAAGCCACAGCACCCCATGCCGTCACTGCCCCCAGCACAAAAAAAAAAGCTGACCTAGTACTTTTTGCTTCCTTGCCACTTCCTCGATGAAGCAAAGCAAAATGTTTGTTTCTTGCTGTCTTAAGCATAGACAACAATGTCCACTATCTTTACTATGGTAATAAAGTGGGAGCAGGATTTTCCTTAATTGTCCTGCTAAAGTAAGAGATGTACTGACTCTTATTAAACTACACTTTGCAACACTGCACAGCAAGGAGCAATGGTCGCTTGACCACGTCGCATATTCGTACGGCATCTGTGATCAATTACTCACTGTAGCAGTAAACAAGACGCTTGCCCCTTCTGAGAGGGCTGGGCCCCTCGGGGCTGAAAGGGGCTGAAGGGGCTGATGGGGCTGATACCCCCCTCCTGGAGAAAATTTCTCCACAGTCGCGGATATTGCCGCCACCCAGTCATTGAGGGTCAACTTCACGCTTCTATATCTTGGTAAGTACTGATCAGAATTTTTTTTGTTTGTTTTATTATCCACAGAAAATTACCTTTAATTCTGTTTGAATTTTTTTTTTTTTTTTTCAAAAATTCTTGGACCCTGGCTCACACTTTGAGATTTGGCCTATGGACCCTGAAAGGGTTAACTGTGGTATATCCAGATTTTTTTTTGTGTGTGTGAGGCAAGATTTTGATTTTTTTTCTTACAGAATGAGAGTGCATTCTTATGAGTCAAATAAAACTAAAATGAGTGGAATTTGACAAATACTTATGATTTTAATGTGATGAAATGGGTGAAAAAAAAATTATCACTTGTCAGCAACAGTGACATAAATACACCAGCAATATTTACATTTTACAATTACTGATGCGAAATTATAATTGTTTTTCAGCATTTTAATTGTTTTTAATTTTTATCACTATGTACTCTGGCTTGTATTACACCTATGATGTGTTTTTCAAGATTATGAGGACTGCAAACATAGGGTAATGCTGAAGAAATAATTGTTTTATTCTATTTTTTACAACTTTGGTCTCCTAACACTTTGTACAAGGAGTACTAATAATATTACCGATATTTCAAGGTGTAATACTCCTCAAAATATGGAAATAAGTTGTACTGTTTGACTCTACTAGGTTTTTTTTTTTTTCCAACAAACCGGCCATACCCCACCAAGGCAGGGTGGCCCAAAAAGAAAAACGAAAGTTTCTCTTTTTAAATTTAGTAATCTCTACTAGGTTATCCTCGACTAATTATTTCTTCTTCTTCTTTCAACAAACCGGCCGTATCCCACCAAGGCAGGGTGGCCCCAAAAGAAAAACGAAAGTTTCTCTTTTTAAATTTAGTAATCTCTACTAGGTTATCCTCGACTAATTATTTCTTCTTCTTCTTTCAACAAACCGGCCGTATCCCACCGAGGCAGGGTGGCCCCAAAAGAAAAACGAAAGTTTCTCTTTTTAAATTTAGTAATCTCTGCTAGGTTATCCTCGACTAATTATTTCTTCTTCTTCTTTCAACAAACCGGCCGTATCCCACCGAGGCAGGGTGGCCCAAAAAGAAAAAAACAAAAGTTTCTCTTTTTAACATTAGTAATGTATACAGAAGGGGTTACTAGCCCCTTGCTCCTGGTACTTTAGTCACCTTTCACAATATGCATGGCTTAAGGAGGAAGAATTCTGTTCCACTTCCCCATGGAGATAAGAGGAAATAGACAAGAACAAGAACTAGTAAGAAAATAGAAGAATACCCAGAGGGGTGTGTATATATATATGCCTGTACATGCATGTGTATAGTGACCTAAGTGTAATTAGAAGTAGCAAGATGTACCTGAAATCTTACATCTATATAAGACAGAAAAAAACACCAGCAATGAAAGTACAGTGGGCCCTTGGTTATCGGCCGTTCCAGATATCGGCCATTTCAGATTTCGGCAGCCTTATCAGCCAAAATTCTATCCTGGATTTCGGCTGTCAACTCGGAAATTGGCTGTATTGGATGCGTCCACCTACCACTCCACCACATTCCTGAGTCAGTCTGTCTCTGGGCAAGTGAGCAAAACTCCGCGCATTTGTCCAAACATTTTGTTATAATCCATTTTTTTTTATTTTTGTTTATTGAGCGCAACTGTGAAATAAGCCACCATGGGCCCAAAGAAAGTTCCTTGTGCCAGCCCTTTGGTAAAGAAGGTGAGAAACATGATAATATTCAAAGCAGGCAGGCATAGAGGCAACGAGTGTAACAGGCATGCAGGGAGTGTAGCAGGCAGGGAGGGAATGTAGCAGGCATGCACGGAGTGTAGCAGGAAGGCAGGGAGTGGACAGTTTTTTGTGGACAGGGGTGCAGCAACTCCCAAGTTGGTCCTAGTGGCAGTAAATGACAAAGAAGGGAAGTAACCCCTCTTTGCCTTCTTCCATTAGTAAAATTAGTGTTTTATATTTCTTTCTCATTGTTTTGTATATGTAAAACTATAGTTAATCTTTAAAAAAATGTATATTTTGTTAATATTTTTGGGTGTCTGGAACAGATTAATTGTATTTACATTAATTCTTATGGGAAATATTATTTCGGTTTTCGGCCTCTTCAGATTTAGGTCAATTTTCTGGAACGGATTACAGCTGATAACCAAGGGTCCACTGTAGTTTGTTAGACTATGTATTGATGGATAAAAGGCTGTTGGGTAGACTTCAGGTTGTGCATGTTTATAGAGGGGCAACAGATATATCAGATCATTATTTAATTGTAGCTACAGTTAGAGTAAGAGTTTGATGGAGCAAAAGGAAGATGGTAATGGCAAGTAAGAGAGAAATTAAAGTTTATAAACTAAGGGAGGAGGAAGTTAGGGTGAGATATAAACAACTACTGGGAGAAAGGTGAGCTAATGAGAGTAAAGGTAGCATGGGGGTTGAAGAGAGGTGGGAGACAAAAAATGTTATCCATGGAGGCAAAGAAGGCAATATACAATATTTGAAGAGTTTCGAGAGTTTCTCTACTTTCTGAGCCCGGCCATGGGCAAATGGTACCAACAATCTTATATGGGGAAGAAGCATGGGTTGTGAATCCTGCAGCGAGGAGGAGGCTGGAGGCAGTGGAGATGTCATGTCTAAGGGCAATGTGTCGTGTAAATATTATGCAGAGAATTCGTAGTGTGGAAATTAGGAGGTGTGGAGTTACAAAAAGTATTATTCAAAGGGCTGAAGAGGGGTTATTGAGGTGGTTCGGTCATTTAGAGAAGATGGAGCAAACTAGAATAACTTGGAGGGTGTATAAATCTGTAGTGGAGGGAAGGAGGGGTAGGGTCATCCTAGGAAAGAATGGAGGAAGGGGGTAAACAAGGTTTTGTGTGCAAGAGGCCTGGACATGCAGCAGGCACATGTGAGCATGTTAAATACGAATGAATGGAGACAAATGGTTTTTGGGACTTGATGAGCTGTTGGAGTGTGAGCAGAGAAATATTTTGTGAAGGGATTCAGGGAAGCCAATTAGCCATACTTGAGTCCTGGAGATGGAATGTACAATGCCTGCACTTTTAAAGAAGGGGTTTGGGATATTAGCTGTTTGGAGTGACATCTAGACTATCATATTTGGGCACCACCAGGTATGTGTGAATGATGGTGAAAGTGAATAACAAAAAAGGCACAATACCGTGACTGGAACGATACACAAATAACCCGCACATAAAAGAGAGAAGCTTACGACGACGTTTCGGTCCGACTTGGACCATTGACAAAGTCACACTAACCAGAGGTGGAGCAGGACGGCTATATATAGGCAGGAAGAGGTGGTGGTAGTAGTAGTAGTAGTAGTAGTACAAGAATTGTATATAATACCGACAAGATGAAATTAAGACACATGCACAACACCCGGGCATCCCCATCATAGACGTTTTGCCATCCAGCCAGCCACTGGATGGCGAAACGTCCACAACAAAGACAACCAGACGCCGCACATGTGTCTTAATTTCATCAGTAGTTGTAGTAGTAGTAGAAGAAGAAGAGGTAGTAGTAGTGGTAGTGGTAGAAGTGGGAAATAAGGATGACGAGCCAGTCAAATACAAAGGAAGGGGAGCACTGCAAGAGAGCTAGATGCCCACAGAGAAGAGCAAGCACACAGAGGTGTGTGAAAGGGAAGTGGTGAAATAAATGAAGAAGGAACAGAAACACGAGACATGAGAGAAAGACAACCCAGAGGAGCAAAGGAAAGAGGAAAGGGGAAGAGGAAGAAGAAGAAAAAGAAAAAGAAAAAAGAAAAAATGAGGATTCAGGTTAAGTCATGGATGTTCTGAAGTTTGGAGCATTTTACAATGTAGTGGGAGAGGAAGGCATCTACAGAGACGAAGCCAGGGCTAAGGTTCATACAAGGAAAGTTGTGTATTAGAGAGGATTCAACTAGACGGCGACTGTTCGAGTTGGAAGTAGGGAAGACAGTTTTAGCAGAAGACCAGTCAACAGGATGGCTATGATCTCTGACGTGACAGAAAAGAGCATTGTTAGTGTTGGCAAGCCTAACACTATTTTTGTGCTCCCTAAGTTTGTCAGAAAGAGATCAACCAGTTTCTCCGAAGTATTGAAGAGGACAGGAGGAGCAAGAAATAGAGTAGACACCAGGAACATCTGTAGAGGGAGGAGAGGTATGAACGAGATTAGTGCGAAGAGTGTTAGTCTGGCGGAAGGTAAGCTTGATGTCTAAGGGACGGAGAGAATTGTTGAGATTAGAAAGACCGGAAATGTAGGGAAGGCAGAGGATAGAAGAGTTCTCATGAGTAGAGAGTTTGGGAGAGAAGAAATTGCGTTTAGCACGTGAGAGGACCGAAACGTCGTCGTAAGCTTCTCTCTTTTATGTGCGGGTTATTTGTGTATGGTGAAAGTGTTTCTTTTTGGATCGCCCTGCCTTGGTGGAAGATGAAGGACATGTTGAAAAAAAAAATTTAGGTTCAAAGGAATATCCTGGGTTATATAAACACTTTTTCTGTCCATAACACTTATGTGCATTCCAGACTACTTTAAAACATAAATTTACAAGAAAATCCTATATTATTACAATTGTTTAAGGGTGGAATATTCCTTAAAACATGAAAATAAGTCACACTGTTTGACTTCACTGGGTAATCCTGAGTTAAATCTACTTAGTGTGTTTTATGGCTGAATTTCAGTTAGTATCATAAAACTGTAATAATTTTAACTGAATAAGGTGCATGAGGCATTACGTTGGGAGTAAAGAAGCTAGAACTGATGGAATCATGACAGAAATATTAGGTTGGTATTTTTGTTTAATGAATGAATGAATGGGAGTAGGTAGTAGGTTGGTAGACAGCAACCACCCAGGGAAGTACTACCGTCCTGCCAGATGACTGTGAAACAGAAACCTGTAACTGTTTTACATGATGGTAGGATTGCTGGTGTCTTTTTCTGTCTCATAAACACGCTAGATAACAGGGATATCTTGCTACTCCTACTTACACTTTGGTCACACTTCACAAACACGCACATGCATATGTATATACATACATCCAGGTTTTTCTCCTTTTTCTAAATAGCTCTTGTTCTTCTTTATTTCTTCTATTGTCCATGGGGAAGTGGAAAAGAATCTTTCCTCCGTAAGCCATGCGTGTCGTATGAGGTGACTAAAATGCCGGGAGCAATGGGCTAGTAACCCCTTCTCCTGTAAACATTTACTAAAAAAGAGAAGAAGAAAAACTTTATAAAACTGGGATGCTTGAATGTGCGTGAATGTAGTGCGGATGACAAGAAACAGATGATTGCTGATGTTATGAAAGAAAAGAAGTTGGATGTCCTGGCCCTAAGCGAAACAAAGCTGAATCGGGTAGGTGAGTTTCAGTGGGGAGAAATAAATGGGATTAAATCTGGAGCATCTGAGAGAGTTAGAGCTAAGGAAGGGGTAGCAATAATGTTGAAGGATCAGTTATGGAAGGAGAAGAGAGAATATGAATGTGTAAATTCAAGGATTATGTGGATTAAAGTAAAGGTTGCATGTGAAAAGTGGGTCATAATAAGCATGTATGCACCTGGAGAAGAGAGAAATGTAGAGGAGAGAGAGAGATTTTGGGAGATATTAAGTGAATGTATAGGAACCTTTGAACCAAGTGAGAGAGTAATTGTGGTAGGGGACCTGAATGCTAAAGTAGGAGAAACTTTTAGAGAGGGTGTGGTAGGTAAGTTTGGGGTGCCAGGTGTAAATGATAATGGGAGCCCTTTGATTGAACTTTGTATAGAAAGGGATTTAGTTATAGGTAATACATATTTTAAGAAAAAGAGGATAAGTATACAAGATATGATGTAGGGCAAAATGACAGTAGTTTGTTGGATTATGTATTGGTAGATAGAAGACTGTTGAGTAGACTTAAGGATGTACATGTTTATAGAGGGGCCACAGATATATCAGATCACTTTTTAGTTGTAGCTACACTGAGAGTAAAAGGTAGATGGGATACAAGGAGAATAGAAGCATCAGGGAAGAGAGAGGTGAAGGTTTATAAACTAAAAGAGGAGGCAGTTAAGGTAAGATATAAACAGCTATTGGAGGTTAGATGGGCTAATGAGAGCATAGGCAATGGGGTCGAAGAGGTATGGGGTAGGTTTAAAAACGTAGTGTTAGAGTGTTCAGCAGAAGTTTGTGGTTACAGGAAAGTGGGTGCGGGAGGGAAGAGGAGTGATTGGTGGAATGATGATGTAAAGAGAGTAGTAAGGGAGAAAAAGTTAGCATATGAGAAGTTTTTACAAAGTAGAAGTGATGCAAGGAGGGAAGAGTATATGGAGAAAAAGAGAGAGGTTAAGAGAGTGGTGAAGCAATGTAAAAAGAGAGCAAATGACAGAGTGGGTGAGATGTTATCAATAAATTTTGTGGAAAACAAGAAAAAGTTTTGGAGTGAGATTAACAAGTTAAGGAAGCCTAGAGAACAAATGGATTTGTCAGTTAAAAACAGGAGAGGAGAGTTATTAAATGGAGAGTTAGAGGTATTGGGAATATGGAAGGAATATTTTGAGGAATTGTTAAATGTTGATGAAGATAGGGAAGCTGTGATTTCGTGTATAGGGCAAGGAGGAATAATATCTTGTAGGAGTGAGGAAGAGCCAGTTGTGAGTGTGGGGGAAGTTCGTGAGGCAGTAGGTAAAATGAAAGGGGGTAAAGCAGCTGGGATTGATGGGATAAAGATAGAAATGTTAAAAGCAGGTGGGGATATAGTTTTGGAGTGGTTGGTGCTATTATTTAATAAATGTATGGAAGAGGGTAAGGTACCTAAGGATTGGCAGAGAGCATGCATAGTTCCTTTGTATAAAGGCAAAGGGGACAAAAGGGAGTGCAAAAATTATAGGGGATAAGATATTGGCAGTTTGGAGGGATATGTTGTGTATCTTTATACGTATATGCTTCTAAACTGTTGTATTCTGAGCACCTCTGCAAAAACAGTGATAATGTGTGAGTGTGGTGAAAGTGATGAATGATGATGAAAGCATTTTCTCTTTGGGGATTTTCTTTCTTTTTTGGGTCACCCTGCCTCGGTGGGAGACGGCTGACTTGTTGAAAAAAAAAAAAAAAAAGTCTGTTGAGTATACCTGGTAAAGTGTATGGTAGACTTATTATTGAAAGAATTAAGAGTAAGACGGAGAATAGGATAGCAGATGAACAAGGAGGCTTTAGGAAAGGTAGGGGGTGTGTGGACCAGGTGTTTACAGTGAAACATATAAGTGAACAGTATTTAGATAAGGCTAAAGAGGTTTTTGTGGCATTTATGGATATGGAAAAGGCATATGGCAGGGTGGATAGGGGGGCAATGTGGCAGATGTTGCAGGTGTATGGTATAGGAGGTAGGTTACTGAAAGCAGTGAAGAGTTTTTACGAGGATAGTGAGGCTCAAGTTAGAGTATGCAGGAAAGAGGGAGATTATTTCCCAGTAAAAGTAGGCCTTAGACAAGGATGTGTGATGTCACCGTGGTTGTTTAATATATTTATAGATGGGGTTGTAAGAGAAGTAAATGCAAGGGTCTTGGCAAGAGGCGTGGAGTTAAAAGATAATCACACATAAAGTATGAGTTGTCACAGTTGCTCTTTGCTGATGACACTGTGCTCTTAGGAGATTCTGAAGAGAAGTTGCAGAGGTTGGTGGATGAATTTGGTAGGGTATGTAAAACAAGAAAATTAAAAGTGAATACAGGAAAGAGTAAGGTTATGATGATAACAAAAAGATTAGGTGATGAAAGATTGGATATCAGATTGGAGGGAGAGAGTATGGAGGAGGTGAATGTATTCATATATTTGGGAGTGGACGTGTCAGCGGATGGATCTATGAAAGATGAGGTGAATCATAGAATTGATGAGGGGAAAAGGGTGAGCGGTGCACTTAGGAGTCTGTGGAGACAAAGAACTTTGTCCTTGGAGGCAAAGAGGGGAATGTATGAGAGTATAGTTTTATCAATGCTCTTACATGGTTGTGAAGCATGGGTGATGAATGTTGCAGCGAGGAGAAGGTTGGAGGCAGTGGAGATGTTATGTCTGAGGGCAATGTGTGGTGTGAATATAATGCAGAGAATTCGTAGTTTGGAAGTTATGAGGAGGTGCTGGATTGTCAAAACTGTTGTCCAGAGGGCGGAGGAAGGGTTGTTGAGGCGGTACGGACATGTAGAGAGAATGGAGCAAAACAGAATGACTTCAAGAGTGTATCAGTTTGTAGCGGAAGGAAGGTGGGGTAGGGGTCGGCCTAGGAAAGGTTGGAGGGAGGGGGTAAAGGAGGTTTTGTGTGCGAGGAGGTTGGACTTCCAGCGGGCATGCGTGAGCGTGTTTGATAGGAGTGAATGGAGACAAATGGTTTTTAATACTTGACGTGCTGTTGGAGTGTGAGCAAAGTAACATTTATGAGGGATTCTGGGAAACCGGCAGGCCAGACTTGAGTCCTGGAGATGTGAAGTACAGTGCCTGCACTCAGGAGGGGGTGTTAATGTTGCAGTTTAAAAACTGTAGTGTAAAACACCCTTCTAGCAAGACAGTGATGGAGTGAATGATGGTGAAAGTTTTTCTTTTTCGGGCCACCCTGCCTTGGTGGGAATCGGCCAGTGTGTTAATAAAAAAAATAAAAAATAAATAAATGTATGAATGAGGGGAAGGTACATAGGGATTAGCAGTGTGTGTGTATAATTCCTTAATATAAAGAAAACGGGACAAAAGAGATTGCGAAAATTATAGGGGAATAAGTTTGCCGAGTATACCAGGTAAATGTATGGTAGGATTATTATTTAAAGAATTAGAGGTAAAACAGAAAGCAGGATTGCAGATGAACAAGGAGGCTTTAGAATGGGTAGGGGATGTGTAGATCAAATGTTTACATTGAGGCATATACTGTATGTCAACAGCATTAAGCTAAAGGTAGGGAAGTTTTCATTGCCTTTATGGATTTAGAAAAGGCATATGATAGACTGGATAGGGGAGCAATGTGGCAGATACTGCAAGTGTATGGAATAGGTAGTATGTTAATAAATGCAGTAAAGAGTTTTTATGAGGATAGTGAAGCTCAGGATAGGGTGTGTAGGAGAGAGGGAGATTACTTCTAAGTAAAAGTAGGTCTTAGTCAGGGATGTTTAGTGTCACCATGGTTGTTTAACATATTTATAGATGGGGTTGTAAAAGAAGTAAATGCTAGGTTGTTGGGGAGAGGCGTGGGATTAAATTATAGGGAATCAAATACAAAATGGGAATTGACACAATTACTTTTTGCTGATGATACTGTGCTTTTGGGAGATTCTAAAGAAAAGTTGCAAAGGTTAGTGGATGAGTTTAGGAGGGTGTGTAGAGGTAGAAAGTTGAAAGTGAATATAGATAAGAGTAAGGTGATGAGGGCATCAAACAATTTAGATAAAGAAAAACTGCATATCACATTGGAGGGAGTATGGAAGAAGTGACTGTTTTCAGATATTTGGGAGCTGATTTGTCAGCAGATGGGTTTGTCAAGGATGAGGTAAACCATAGAATTGATGAAGGAAAAAAGGTGAGTGGTGCATTGAGGTATCTGCTGAGACAAGGAACATTATCCATAGAGGCAAAGAAGGGAATATAAGAGAGTATAGTGGTACCAATGCTGTTCTATGGGGGAGAAGTATGGATTGTAAATGCTGCAGAGAGTAGGTGGCTGGAGGCAGTGGAGATGTCATGTCTAAGGGTAATGTGCGGCATAAATATTATGCAGAGAATTCGTAGTGTGGAAACTAGGTGGTGTGGATTACTAAAAGTATTAGTTAGAGGGCTGAAAAGGGGCTCTTGAGGTGCTTTGGTCTTTGGTCATTTAGAGAGAATGGAACAAAGGAGAATGACTCAGAGAGCACATTAATCTGTTAGGGAAGGAAGGCGGGGTAGGGGTTGTTCCCGAAAAGGTTGGAGGGAGGGGGTAAAGGAGGTTTTGTGGGAGAGGGGCTTGGACTTCCAGCAAGCGTGCATAAGCATAATAGATAGGAGTGAATGGAGACAAATGGCTTTTGGGACCTGATGAGCTGTTGGAGTGTGAGCAGGGTAATATTTTGTGAAGGGATTCAGGGAAACTGGTTAGCCGGACTTGAGTCCTGGAAATAGGAAGTACAATGCCTGCACATTACAGGAGGGGGTTTAGGATATTGGCAGTTTGGAGGGATGTCTAAACTGTCATATCTGAGCGCCTCTGCAAAGACAATGATTATGTATGAGTGATGATGAAAGTGTTAAAATGATGATGAAAGTTTTTTCTTTCTTTTTAGGTTTTTCTTTCTTTTTAGGTCACCCTGCCTCAGTGGGAGATGGCTGTCATGTTGAAAAAAAAAAGTCATCTTCATGCCACTTCCACACCCTGTTTGCTGGTAGGGAAGCTGGTGGTGGAACAACAGCTCCTGATTCCATGGTGTACTTATTTTAGTTAAGCATACTAATACATTAGATACAATCATCACCTGTATAGGTAATCAATATGCACTGTGTGGACCTGCCTGGCCTTAGATATTTTTCAAATGTGTAAAAAGATTGTAAAAGACCCAAAAAATTTTGGTGAGGTCAAAAATACAGGCAGGTGGCTCATTTGAAGATATGAAAAATTGTGAGCATTAGTAAGTTGGCCACATTGACACAGCTTGCATACTAGTACATTGGACACAGTTAAAGAGTTAAGGTTAAAGTTGCAGATTTACTAAGCTTCTTGACAACTCTTCTAGCTGACCAATGCGAATAAGGTCTGTTCTGCCAGCCTTTAACATTCTGGAATGGTACAAAAAAAAAAAATTATACTATATATAACCTTATATCAGGATGATTTGTTTTATATAAATTTCCAAGTAAATTAAGTTCAAACAATAGGTATCCTACTACCTAACATTTTTTAAATGGAAAGAACAAGTATGTATCTGCTACAATTAAAGTACACAACTAGTGAACATACTATTCCAAATACCAGATTGTTTACCAAAACTCCACTCCACTGTACTTTAGCCTGAGTTTACATATTTAAATAAGTGGCACACAATCTGCTTTTTGTACCTCTTTCCTTCTCATCCCTTATCTTTAGATGCCCTACAATTCCTAGTTTCACTCTTACCTGAACCAATACTGCTTTTAAATTTTAATGGCCATCATTTTCTGTGACAAAGTGACTTAGTTGAGTCTTTTCTTAGTCCTGGGACTTTGACTCATGTGGACCCTTGAACTCATACCACTTCATCAATTTATTCAACTTCATTAGGCATTGGTAAATGATCTCCATTATAGCAACCATTTCCCTTTCATTCCTACACTTATCCTTATCACTGCTCTTGGTGGCAGTTTAAAAATGCAAATTTAACTTTTTTTAAAATGCTACATTTCTTTTTCTTCTCTCATCACAGATGCTTCTTCCATAAATGAGTTATTACATATGTTTTTTACATCTCTTCTTACAGTTGCTGGAATCTAATCCATGAACACTCACTCTCCCTGCCAGCCTATCCTCCCTCCTTCACTCCCTCACCATGCTCCACAGAACCCACAGGCACTCCTTGCTGGCCTCACTTACTCCACAGCTGGCACCTACATACCTGTAGGAGAGGTTCTTGGCAGAATAATACTAGTGTTTCTGCTCTGGTGGCCTGGTGGTTAACGCTCTCGCTTCACACGGTGAGGGCCTGGGTTCGATTCCCAGCCAGAGTAGAAACATTGGACGTGTTTCTTTCCACCTGTTGTCTATGTTCCCCATCAGTAAAATGGGTACCTGGGTGTTAGTCGACTGGTGTGTGGTCGCATCCTGGGACACTGACCTAAGGAGGCCTGGTCACAGACCGGGCCGCGGGGGCGTTGACCCCCGGAACTCTCTCCAGATAAACTCCAGATAAACTACCCACTACCCAAGGTGCTGTGTAACCCCTACAAGCTTAATGCTCCCCATGAAATAATTTGGTGTTCAAGAGAGTTTTTGCACATTTTCCCATAATCTTGAGTCTCCAGGACTATAAATGTTGCAGATATAAAGGCATTGCTTTGCAAGAATTTGCTGACCAAATACCTCATTAATTTCTAATTACCAGGTTTTCAATCCTCTAGATTAGCCACTTTTCTCTCATGAATTTTTTAGTATTTTTCTTTTCACACCTGTGAGCACTGTATATATATATAGTACAATTATGCAAATATCGCATACCAAGCGGTACAGGATGCAAAACAACCATGGGGGGAGTAGAATGATAGCTCTAGGCCTTTTGTGTTGCAATCAACACATTATCAGGAGGTTGCAAAGTTACAGAAAAGAGGAGGTTGTCCAAGTGAGGGAGAGTGAGGGAGAGGGAGAAAGAAGGAAACAGGAAATGCCCTCAGGCATACCAATACCCATAGGCAGAAAGGTTTAATATTATAGCATTAAAAAGAACCCAAAAGCACTGATATTGTAATAGTAGCCTAAATGAACTTAACATAGCAATTATCAAAAATTCAGTCAGACTCTGCTATGATACAAGTAATTTTACATACATAAATATATATTGCCAGTGATATAGAAGTCACTGGCAATTATCAATGAAGTAACCATAGACAGGTCCATTTAAAGGGGAGACATCTTAAGTTATACAAAGGAAACAAGGCTTATTAAAAGGGGAGGCATATGTATTTACAAGGAAGACAGCCACAGTTATTCATCCCACAGGATTCTGAGGCAAACTCTGGTTCAACCTTCAGAAAAAGCAGAAAAAATATGCTCTAATTCACTGGTGTGGCACTACATTTAAGACAGTCTAATACATTCATATAAGAGCCCAGTTTTTGACTGTGTACTACTGCCTCAACTAAAAATGCATCTAATTTGAATAACCTGCCACTGATATTGTATAATGAATGCTTATCATGCTTAATAATTGCCGACTCCACAATATACCTCTCAAGCCAAGAGGAACAAGGGAAGATGACTCTTGCTTCCTGCCAATTTGCCAGGTTATTACAAGATCTAATATGGTTAAAAATAGTGTTCGACTCCTGTGCCATGGTTATTTTGCATATACAGTGGACCCCCGAGTTTCGTGATTAATCCGTTCCAAATAGTCTGCCGAATGGCAAAATTCACGACTGGCAAAACCATTTTCCCCATAAGAACTAATGGAAATCCAATTAATCCGTTTCAGACACCCAAAAGCATTAGCAAAAAATATTTTTTTTTAAAGATAAAATATAGATTTACATATAGAAAACAATGACAAATGAATATAAAGCACTAATAAAATAGATAAATGAACATTTAACATCACGCTTACATTTATTGAAGACTCTTGTTTGGAAACAAAGCTGCAAATGATCCAATTAACATAACGCTAAACGGATCATCAGTCACAAGATTCACAGAGGGAAAATTCCTAGGTATCCACCTTGACAGTAGCCTTAAGTTCCGGAAACACAAACAACAAATCACCAAGAAAATCTCCAAGACTGTAGGCATACTATCAAGGATAAAGTACTATGTTCCACAATCAGCTCTCCTGGCACTGTACCGTTCACTCATATACCCTTATCTTACATATGGAATTTGTGCATGGGGATCAACAACATCTAATCACCTAAAACCCCTAATAATCCAGCAAAAGGCAGCAGTAAGAATGATAACAAATTCCCACTCCCGCCAGCATACTCCACCAATTTTCAAAAGTCTGAATCTGCTCACCATTAAGAACATTCATACTTATTCATGTGCCTACTACATACACAGAACAATACATGCAAATATAAACCCTCCACTCAAACTTCTCCTCACCAACCTAAACAGGACACATGACCACAACACAAGACACAGATCTCTTTTTGATATACAGTGGACCCCCGCTTAACGATCACCTCCCAATGCGACCAATTATGTAAGTGTATTTATGTAAGTGCGTTTGTACGTGTATGTTTGGGGGTCTGAAATGGACTAATCTACTTCACAATATTCCTTATGGGAACAAATTCGGCCAGTACTGGCACCTGAACATACTTCTGGAATGAAAAAATATCGTTAACCGAGGGTCCATTGTACTTCTTTCTTTCAACACACCGGCTGTATCCCACCGAGGCGGGGTGGCCCAAAAGGAAAAACGAAAGTTTCTCCTTTCAAATTTAGTAATATATACAGGAGAAGGGGTTACTATCCCCTTGCTCCCGGCATTTTAGTTGCCTCTTACAACACACATAGCTTACGGAGGAAGAATTCTGTTCCACTTCCCCATGGAGATAAAAGGAAATAAACAAGAACAAGAACTAGAAAGAAAATAGAAGAAAACCCAGAGGGGTATGTATATATACGCTTGTACATGTACGTGTAGTGTGACCTAAGTGTAAGTAGAAGTAGCAAGATGCACCTGAAATCTTGCATGTTCATGAGACAGAAAAAAGGACACCAGCAATCCTACCATCATGTAAAACAATTACAGGCTTTCGTTTTACACTCACTTGGCAGGACGGTAGTACCTCCCTGGGCGGTTGCTGTTTACCAACCTACTACCTAGGTTTTTGATATACCTCGTGTCCATATCACACTGTGTAATAACTCTATGCACATAAAGGGCCCCAAAATATGGAATTCATTACCAGAAGATATTAAAGTAACCTGGTCTAAAAATCAATTTAAGACTCTTCTCAAAAGCCACTTAATCACCCTAGACTAAACGCTAAATACTCAGTACACACTTACTTATGTACTCCCACATCATTACTTCAACAATCACTTTGAACCTTTTATCCATTGTTGACAGGAATATAATTGAATCATTGTTTTCACAAAAAGCATTTTTGAATATATGAACATATCTTTTGTCTTATACAAATTTGATTCACTTATAATTAATAATCTACTGTACAACTATAAAATAATTACTGTCCTACTGTACAACTATGATATAATCCTTAGTGTTAAGTAGTCTGTAAGCCAATAATGTTAAGTTGGCCCATAATGCCTAGGCATAATAAAGGCTCTCTTTGCATTGCAACCCATTATTGTAAATACAAAATCTCAATGTACTGTTTGCGAAGACATAAAATAAATAAATAAATAAATAAATAAATATGGCAGACAGGTAGGGGAGAGGAAGGCGAGTTTATTACGCTTCAATATGATGCTAATATAATCTCTACGGCTTATTTATCTATCACAATTCATCTAATATGATATAATACACAATATTAATAACATAGAAACATGATATATACTCTAGAATGAATAAAATATGTCATAACGTATGTGAGGAGTAAGTATTGGTGGTGTTGTTGTTGGGTTATAAGGGCCAATGAGAGAAGCCACGCAGGTGGCACTCGGCAGCGGCAGCAGCGACCTCCAAGCTCCGTACTTTTCTCCAACTATCAGAGCTACCAATGCTCCTATGATGACCTAGTTACAAGCAAAACTGCACTACCCAACGTAGCACCCAGAATGACCTAAGATTACCAACAGTGAAACCTACAAATCGAAAATAATAGAGATTAAAGGAAGACTGCCCACAAACCGAAAGCAACACCCCGCTGCCAGCCGAACAACGTAACCCTAAACTTTGTATAACTACAACTTCTTCTTAACTATAACAATTCCTGTAGTATTATGAGGCACAATCTAAGAGGAAACAGCACCAAGGCCAGCAAGAAAACACCGAAAAAATCAACTATTCAACAAGGAGTAGTCAGGAGGCGCGGCCCCAGCAACCACCCCACTCACCACCACTAAAGGCGACACCACAACAATAACAACAAACTGGCTGCCACCAGCCCATCCCCCCCTCTTT